GCCTCCTCCACCTTCTTGTATTTCCCTCCCCAACACCCGAACTAAATCTCCCACTCCAACCCCACTGTTGTGGTTACCTTCTATTCCATTAATTCTGTCCTCCATTTAAGACAGTGTATTTTATCCTGCAATCTACCTGACCTTCCCACTACCTGGATCTCTCTGTTCCTCTGTGTTTACCTTCTTTCACACTGTAATTATTTTGATCACATACTGACCTCCCAGATCCTCTGTTCGTATAATTTTATTCTGTTCTTGACTCTTCCATTTGTCGATTGAGTTCAGGGTGATGCTGTCGCGTACTTCATTCTCTAGTTGTTGTCTGTTCTTGTTGATTCTCAGAACTTCCTTAAGGATGTTTTTCATTGCAGGGTTGGCTTTGGCAAAATTCCTTAGCTTCTGTTTATCCTAGAATGTTTTGATTACACCATCTTATTTGATTGACAGCTTTGCTGGGTAGAGGATTCTTGGTTTTTTCTTTCAGCGTTTTATATATGTCTCCCCATTGCCTTCTTGCCTACATGGTTTCTGTTGAGACATCCAAGCTTACTCTGATTTGCTTGCCTTTGTATGTTACATTTCTCTTTTCCATAACTGCTTTTAGGATTCTTTCCTTATCTTTGATTTTGGAAAGCTTGATTATTATATGTCTTGGTGGTTGTCTTTTAGGGTCTCTCCTTCCTGCTGTTCGTTGAGCTTCTTGAATGCTTATCTTTTTGCTTTTCAGGATGTTAAGAAATTTTTCTTCCAGAAGCTCTTCAACTATCTCCTCGGTGGATTGTATGATTCTTCCTGTTTCGGAATGCTGATAATTGTTATTATTCGTCTTCATGATGTCCAACATGAATCTTAGGCCTTCTTCAGATTTTTAAAATCCTTTTTTGTGTTTGCTCTTCTATCTTAGGAGTGTTGAGAGATTTATCTTTTAGTTCTCACTAGTTCTGGCTTCAAAGGAGCTCTGGTAGCGTAGTGGTTACGAATCGGGCTGCGAACCTTAAGGTCAGCGGTTCGAAACTGCCAGTCGCTCCGCGGGAGAAAGATGAGGCTTTCTACTCCCGTAAAGATTTACACCCTTGGAAACCCTGTACAGGGTCGCTATGGGTTGGAACCGACTCGATGGCACTTCACAACAACAACAGTTCTGGCTTCTGTCTCTTCAATTCTACTCCTTTGCCCTTTCAGTGTATTGTCTATTTCTGATATTCTGTTACTAATAGTTTGGACCTTTTTCTGTATGTTTTGAATTCTTTCCAATGTTACTTTATTTGATTGTTCCTGTAGCACTTCCCTGACTTCTTCCTTATTTTTCTCAACTCCATTGTATAGTGTTTTGATAAATTTTTAATCATTTTTCTGAATTCCTTCTCAGGCATTTTCAAATCCTGCTCATGTTCCAGTATGGAGTGTAGGTCTACTTCTAGCTCATTTGCCTCAGTCACTTTATCTCGTTTCTGGACATGTGTTGTTATGGTTATCTGTTTCTGCTTTTTGGGCATATTTAGGAGTTATCTGTGGCCTTAATACTTAGATGGGTGTGTTTTTGGGTATTTTTTATGCTTTCTGATTGCCTCCAGGTTGATGTGATCAGGAAGTGGTCTTCCCTTTCACCCTTCTTCTTGAGAAATTTCAACATGCCACTGTTGGTCCTTGTGACATAACTCAGGATTTAATTTTTGGCCTGTTTCCTTTTCAGTCTGCCTGTCTCTCTCTACACAATCTTCATTCAGGCCTTTTTTTCTAGTTATACACAGTTCAGGGCCAGCTGTGGTTGTTTGGTTTTAAGTGGAAATTCTCACTTTAAATTTTAAGGAGATCTGTGCACATGTGTAGTAGAACCCTCCGGGGTTCGGGGTGGGGTGTCTGCTTGCTCAGGCACCCCCTCTAGTCATCAGAATGGAGGTGCCCAAACAGTGAGAGACCAAGGAACAGATATATATATATAAAAAAAGGAATGTCCACACCTTTATCTGCACAGTTCTGTCAGGCATCTGTGGCTGCACTGATTCTTCCCTTGCTCGGTCTCTCCCAAGATGGTGGCTCCAGGAGCAGCTGACTGTCTTGAATTAGAAAGCAATGGATTTCTTGCTTCTGCTAAAAATTCCCCTAGCTGTAAGCCTTCCAACTTTCTAAATATTTCTTTATGTGTAGTTTAGAGTTCTGGCACCATCCCCTGCCTGAGTCTGCTTGGTCTGGTATTCTGTGTTGTTGCTGACGGAGATCCTCACTGCACTTCCACCTGATCCGCCATCTTGTTTGTTCTTCCCTAGGTCACTTCTTGACCAATTTTTTAATTTAATATTTTAAAACTTCTTTAAATTATAGAAAATGTCAAACATACAGATGTAGGGATAATAAAAAACCACCCCTATATGCTTATTGTTGACAGTTCAGCTTTTCCAGTTGCTTCTCGGAGTCCTGGTGTGGCACTGTGGGATAATGCTCTGGACTGCAAGGTCAGTTTGAACTTCAAGTTCTGTGGTTCAAACTCTGTAGCCCTTCCTTGGAAACCCTATACAGGGTCATTATGAGTCAGAATGGCACTTAGTAACAACACCAACAACATGTGTTCATTGTTGGTGGTTCAACCTCACCAGCCACTCTTTGGAAACCCTATACAAGGTTGCTATGAGTCGGAGTTGAGTCAACAGCAGTTAAAACAACAACAATATAATTGTCACTTAACTTCTCTAATTATCAGTTCACAGTCACTGTTGTTTCATCTATATCCCTGTCTGCAACGATCCTTCCACCTACTTCCTGGATGATTCTCTAGGAAATTTCAGCTGCCATAGTATTGATCATCAGCTTTATGTAAAACATGCTAAACAGTTATTATCTTCTGCTTCCTAATGATACAAAAAAATACTGATCTTATTTGGATTTGTACTTTGTTATCTAGCGATGAATTCATTTAGAATCTTTAGCTCTGTCCTTTTTGTCATGAAATTTTGCCTAGAATTTCTTGGTTGACAGGAACTCACCTACATTCAATTCAAGAGAAACAAATATAAGAATTGAGTTTTGTGTGGTTAATATATACAACAGTAATTTTGGAAATTTTAGAGGGGAAAACAATTGTTCTACAGTAGTTTGAAAGTCAGATTTCTGAGGAGAACAGAGAGTTATTCTTTAAATATGAAAGTCAGCTGCATGGGCTTCTGGTATTTTGTGTGCTTTGTTTTAAAATCGATTTCTAGTAGCAATTGTTGTTGTTGTTGGGTGCCATCGAGTTGGTACCGACCCATAGCGAACTTATGCATAGCAGAACGAAACACTGCCAGATCCTAGGTCAACCTCACTACTGTTACCACACTTGAGTCCATCGATGCAGCCACTTGGCCAATCCATCTCATTTGGGAGTCTTCCTCTCTTTCTCTTTCCCTCCACTTTACCAAACATGATATCCTTCTCCAGTGACTGGTCCCGCCTTACAATTATGTCCGAAATATGCAATACATACTTGAAATAGCTGGTTGAATTTACCTAGCCCTCAATGTAGAATCAAATCATTTTAATTTGCTTAATGAGCCTTCATCTGAATAGATGTTAGCTGTTTTGCTTTGAGCTTTCCATTAATAATTAATATTTCAGTTAACAGATTTTAATATTCTCTTGGAGCGAGTAACTCTTTTGCTATGTTGTTACAATTTCCATTTTCCTTGTCTTAACATTTTGCTGTTCTCCGTCTTAATCCTGTTTCAACATTTGCAGGAACTGTGGATTTCTTGATGCATTTTTTCCTTAGCTCATTTTCTTTTTATTTGATTTATGATTTATTTCTCAAGGGGGTTAATGATCTTGGGGGAGGATAAGGGTGGTCCTCTGCATGATCTGTGATTCCAGCTCACCTGCCGCTTCCTGGAAACCCTATATAGGGTTGCTATGACTTGGAATCTACTCGACGGCACTTAACAACACGTAATAGAATTATGCTTAATAAAACAACAGTGATTTGCTCCTGGATTAAAATTTTCTGAGCATGTGAAGTTAAATTTGAGGAAGTGGACAGTGAGGACGGAAGATTGAAGTGTCCCACTATTCCCATTGTAAAGTGATTATCAACCCTAGAAGGCACCACTGTGTTCCCTGTAAGGTGCCTTCAGTTTTGCAATTTGTTTCTGCACTATTAACTAAGCAGATGGCAACATCAGGGCTCTATGGTTGATGTTCAGAGCAGAACTGTTCTGGCAACAGTTTCCATTCTGTATTAAAAAACTGGTCATCCAGGAAGAAAATGGACACTGTAGCATCAGAGCTTCAAACAGTTTGACCTCTTGCTGAGAATTTGCATTTTCACCCCAGATACACTGATTCACAGTCTACATTTTAACAAGATCCCATGTGATTCTTAAGCTTGTACTTGGGAAGCTCTAAGATCTTGATTTTGATTGAGTCTGGTGGTGTTGGTTGTATGCTGTGGAGTCAGTTCCGACTCCTAGTGACCCCTGCACAGGGTTTCCGAGGCTGTAAATCTTTATGGAAGCAGAAACCCTCACCTTTCTCCTGTAGAACTGCTGGTAGTTTCAAACTGCTGACCTTGAAGTTAGCAGCCTGACTCCTGGCCACAATGCAACCAGAGCTCCTTCTGATTCAGTATTCTGTTGAGTCAGTTCCAACCATAGCAACCCTGTATAGGGTTTCCGAGGAGTGGCTGGGGAGCTTGAACTTCCGACCTCGTGGTTCAAACTGACTTTGCAGTCCAGTGCCTTAAACCACAACGCCATACCATGAGGGTGGAAATACCTCTTCTCAGTCAGGGGCTGGGGAAGGTGGAAAGGTCAAAACTGGAATGAACCAGTTTGAATGTCTATGGCATGAAAGAGTTTAATGCTTTCTCTTTATTTAATTTTTATGTTATACATATTAGTATTTTTTAATAACCTAGAAAAATATTGAATATTTGGATTTGAAGTTTTAAATGCATAGTTTATTTTTAAAAGGGCGGTATCTGAATCATCCAAAGTGATCCTTGTCCTGTTTTTTTCCCCTCATTTCTCCAGAGATATTACATATGAAATATCAGTAGAAGCTATATCAACAATGGTTGTTTTTCTTTCCTGCCAACTCTTCCACAAAGAAGTTTTACGGCAGAGCATCAGTCACAAGTACTTGTTGCAAGGTCGATGGTATGTTTCTTTTTTAAACTTATCTGGTTGTCCCACCCCCACCCCTACTCCCACCCCCACCCCGTGTATTTCTTGTCTTGTCCTTTTTCCTGAGTGTTGTCTCTTATATCCAACCAAATGTTTCTGGTGGTTCCATCTTTACTTCAGACCCTACATGTATGGGACAAGGTTCGCATTCCTATTAAAACTCTGCCCCTCACTCCCCCTCTAACCCCACAGTTTATCACCTTCTCTAGTGAGTTGGTGTGCAGGAGAAAGATGAGGCTTTCTTCTCCTGGAGATTTACAGCTTTGGAAGCCAGTTACTGGCTCATTATGAGTCGAGGGCTTGATGGCACTTAACAACAACAGCTTCAACAAATTGAAAGTTTGAAGTCATTTTTTCCCCTTCTTTTTCCTTCGTTCTTGCCATGTAAGCAGTTATCAAGCCATATTTGCCCATTCAAAATTATTTTTGTATCTTCCCCTCCTCCCCACTGGAGTTACTATAATAGGTGTCCCATCACCATGTGCTTTATTTATTTAACACATAACAAAGCTCTTGCTGAAAGTAAAGAGGACTTAAAATAATGATGAAGATCAAAGACCACAGCCTTCCGTATGGATTGCATCTCAATGTAAAGAAAACAAAAATCCTCACCACTGGACCAATATTCAACATTCTTATCAACGGAGAAAAGATTGAAGTTATCAAGGACTTCATTCTTCTTGGATCAACTATCAACACTCAGGGAAGCAGCAGCCAAGAAATCAAATGATGTATTGCATTAGGCAAATCTCCTGCACAAGACCTTTTGAAAGTGTTGAAGAGTAAAGATGTCAGCTTGAGGACTAAGGTGCGCCTGACCCAAGCCGTGGTATTTTCAATAACCTCATATCCATGTGAAAGCTGGACAGTGAATAAGGAAGACCATAGAATTGATGCATTTGAGTTATGGTGTTGGAGGAGAATATTGAAGGTGCCATGGTCTGCCAAAAGAACCAAGAGATCTGTGTTGGAAGAAGTGTAGCCAGAGTGCTCCTTGGAGGCTAGGATGGCCATACTTTGTCTGTCATACTTGGACATATTGTCAGGAATGACTAGTCACTGGAGAAGGGTATCATGTTTGGTAAGGTGTAGGGCCAGAAAAAAAGAGGAAGACCCCCAGAGAGATGGATTGGCAAAGTGGCAGCATCAGTGGGCTCAGGCGTGACAACAATTGTGAGGTTGGCTCAGGACCGGGCAGTGTTTCGTTCTGTTGTGCATAAGGTCGCTATGAGTCGGTACTGACTCGATGGCACCTAACAACAGTCTCTTAACTGATGCTTTCTACCTTCATTTAGTCAACAGATATTTATTGTGTGCTGACCAGGTCAGGTGCCAGGCATTGTGTTAGGATCGGGGGCTAGGATGCTGTACAGAGACTTTTAGTCTCCTTGATGATGGGAATGGGAACAGTAATAGATAAATACTAAGTAAACATGCAAAGAGCCCTCGTAGCATAGTGGGTAATGAGCTGGGCTTCTAATTGCGAGGTCTGCAGTTCAAATTCATGAGCTGCTCCATGAGAGAAAGACGGTTTTCTGTTCCCCTTAAAGATTTACAGCTTCAGAAATTCTATACAGGGTCGTTATGAGTCGGAACTGACTCATACATGACCATCTCCATCTAGAGACACATACACATACCTGTGCACCTGCACACTCCCCCTGCTGGCCACTTAATTTCCATAGAACTATGCACTGTGAAACACTTACAAATAAAGTATCTTTGATTAAAGTGTGCAGGGAGTTGGAGCTTTGTTTTCTCCATGTCCTTCTCACTCCCTTGCTTACCTCTTTGGTAATTTCTTTCTATCTTGATTGCACCTGTGGCACATTCAGAGCACTCCTTAGGGCTGTTTGGAACATATTTGAAAATCTCTGATAAGAGAGATTTGGAGCCAGGAGGTTCAAGGCTTCTGCTCTCGTTCTCTTGTGTTCAGAGAACCTCCCATCAGAAAACAGGGCCGTGCCACTGAATTGCCTGGGTTTGAGCTAGTGCTTGGCATAGTGGGGCTGTGTGCTCTTTTGCTTCACAAGTTTCTCTGAACTTCACTCTCTGTGATGCCTGAAGTGTTGAGGTTGCCTCTTTTATAGATACAGAGAATGTCGGGGGTCTTATTTTCTAAATGGGAAGGTTTTTATAATGTATGGTGCCAGAGATTTCAGCCATAATAAGCTCTCTACTGAGTTCTGGTTCATCTTGGAAGCTATATTTTATAAGGCTCAGAAGAATATTCAAGAATCTGCTAAAATTTCTCCTAGATTCTAGGAATTGGTTTATCACCAATTTGTGGTCACATAACCCTTTTTATTTTCTCTCTCTTCCCTCCTATTTCAACTTAAAAGCAGAAAGTATGAACATTAAAAACAACAACAACAACAAAAACCTCTCTCTCTCTCTATATATATATGTATTTTGTGTACCTAAGTTTCATACTTAAAAAGAGCAGTCTTTTATTATTGTTTGAATTCTTGCTTTTCCTTACTGGTTTTACGTTACTACACCTTTCCTGTTGCCAGGTAGTGTTTTATGCACTGGATTTGTAATATCTCATACTTTCATATTTGATTACAAATGAGGTGTAACTGAAGCTTCAAAGAGTTTAAGGAATTTAACTAGTGTTTTTTTTTTTTTTTTGGTGTAGTAAGAGGCAAAGCATGGAGTCTTGGTGTGGTGCTGTAGGATAAGCAGTGGACTTCTAAATACAGGGTCATCAGTTCAAAACCACCAGCTGCTCCTTGGGAACCTTATATATGGGGTCACTATGAGTCGGAACTAACTTGTCGGCACTTAACAGCAACAAGAAACAAAGCAAAAATTAAACATTAGATCTGACCTCATGGCCTTCACTATTAAGTGACAATGCTGGACTGAATATGAATGATCCATTATCTTTTAATTATGTTTTTTTTTTTCCATGAACATTTTTTGAAACCCCTTGTGTTAACCCATTTATATTAATGCCATTATTATTTCTGTGTCATTATACAGATTCAGGTGACTGTCATAATGGGAGTTTTAATTTTCTTCTTCTTCTTTTTAAATAGTCTTTCGTACACCAGCAAACTTGTGAAAACGTTACTGTATAACTTCATCAGACAAGAAAGACCGCCTCCTCCAGGAGCCCATGTTTTCCCGCAGCAATCCGATGGGGGCGGACTGCTCTATGGACTTGCCTCAGGAGTAGCAAGTGAGTCTTACTAATTTGTTCAGTTCTTTGAGAGTCATAGCATTGTAGTGAAGCACAAGGTTTACCTTCTGTTATGAGTGAGACCATGACTCAGGAGACAAACTAGCATCCTGGCAGGTACATATGTTGTTCCAAATTACCAGAAGAGAAGCAGATTTTTATAGTGTGGAGTAAACAGAGGGCTGCATGCTCACAGGAATAAGGGGGTACATGGCAAAGTGACAAAGGGGTTGTTGAATAAGGCATTCGTCTTGGATCAAGGCATACAACAACTCTCTACAAACAAACATCTTTTAACAAGTAATTCCTAGCCCTGGGTAAAATCTTGTCCCATGCTACTTTTGGGTTACAAACAATTAAATTTTACGAGAAGGAGAATTGTCTTGTCAGAGCAGTAGAAGCAGAGATTTTAGTCAAAGCTTCCCTTTGATTCTAGATCTTAGGCAGCCATTGTAGTCATGCCTAATGCTTTAGTTTTGGGGTTCGCTTATATAGTTGATTTTGTCTGCTAGAAATAATGAGTTCTGTACACTGGGATGCTACCATTCACAGTTTGATTGGATCTATGTTGTTGTTAAGTGCCCTTGAGTTGGTTCTGACCCATAGTGACCTGTAGAGAATTTTTGAGGAGCAGCTGATGAACTTGAACCACCGACCTTACAGTTCAAAGCGACTTTGCAATCCAGCACACTAACCCATAGCACCACACCAGGTGTGGTGTAGCTGGTTAAATGTGAAATACTGAAAGTAATTTTAAATATTAATTTTTCCATCTTGTGGCATGTTAAATAATATGCAAATGATAAATGCATCACTTATCTTTAAAACACTTTTTGAAGAAAATTGTTTACAAATAAATATGCATATTATGTGAGTCCAGGCTGTACAGTAAAAATAAAATTAGGCTGTTTTACTACTTGTGTTATTAGAGGCCATCTTCCCATTTGTGGGCTTTTTTGGCTAAGCTTTTATATGAATGATCAGGCTTAGTTTTCCTACAATGCCCAGTGTCTCATTTGTTCAGTGACAAGTTAACACATTTTGACGGGCTTTGTAATAAACTCTGAAATGGCCCAAACTTGGGTTTTGTCAAGCTGGGAGTCCATTTCCTATCTGGAGGAAGTCCTGAGGCCTCATTTCTGTTCTTAGTGTTCAGACCTAAAGACATTGGAAGTGGAGGCAGATTCCTGTTTTTCCCTTTGTAATTATGGAGGACCATGTGAGGTGAGCTTACACTTTCTTGTGAAAGAGAAATAAAAGCTAACGCGCCCAGTTGTAGGTCTGAACAGGCACTCTTACTATACCAGCAGGATATTTCTTCCTAACATTATAATGTAGAGCTCAGTTGTTTGAAGGGATTTTCAATGGAACTAATTGACTTACACTGGTGTGGTGCTGTGGGTTAATGCGCCAGACTGCAAAGCTGTTTGAACTGCAAGGTCGGTGGTTCAGGCTCACCAGCTGCTCCTTGGAAACCCTATATAGGGTCACTATGGGTCAGAATCGACTCGACGGCACTTACCAAAAACAACAACAAATTGACTCCCACAGCTGAATTATGTCTATGGTGTGCTCACTACACTCAAGGAGGATATGAAAAGCAATATTGTGTGATAACTTTTGTAGAGAACATGTTTTGGGTACACATCTTTGGATTAAGGTGTGGTGTTGTAGGTTAATGTGCTGGACTGCAAAGCCAGTTTGAACTGCAAGATTGACGGTTCAAGCTTAACAGCTGCTCCTCGAAAACCTTATACAGGATCGCTATGGGTCGGAACCCACTTGATGGCACTTAACAACAACAAAGAAATGGTGGTAGACTTGCTCTGCTAACTAGGAATTGATTTGAGGACCAGACTTCTTTTGATGTTTGGAATTAAGTTACGTTTGTGATCACTGCCTTTGCTTGGGTGCTGAGTAGCTTGCTTAGGATGCCAGACCTGCATGGATTCTTTGAGTTACCTCTATCTGATGCCCTCACATTATTACAGATGAGGAAGCTGCCCCCAGCTTGCTTATTCTTGACCTCCAGTGGCAACACCGGGGAACGGCTTTTTGTGTCTCAAGGAAAGGCTTAATAAATCTGTTGTTGTTATTTGCCGTGGAGTCAGTTCTGACTCTTAGCGACCCTGTTATAGGGTTTCCGAGGCTATACATCTTTACGGGAACAGAAAGCCTCATCTTTCTCCTGCAGAACAGCTGTTAGTTTTGAACTTCTGACCCTGAGGTTTGCAGCCCGATTTGTAACCACTATGCTACCAGAGCTCCTTAATAAATCTGTTAGTGATCTCTTTTTCCTGTCATTAAACTGATGTAATTTTTTCTTTTTTGATGTAAGTTTTTAAAAGCTGAACTGTTTTGGGGAATGAACAGTAGGAACTTATTAACTGTTTCCCCCCAAACAATGGCAATACTTGGCAGTTTTTTTTTTTAATAGTAAGCATACTTTTGTGCATTGTTTTTTGTTTTCTTTTAGTTATGTGTCACTATCAAAAGGAAACCTAATGTGTTATGTGGTGTCATTTATATAAGGAGTCCTGGTGTCGCAGTGGTAAAACGCTCAACTGCTAACTGAAAAGTCTGGGTTTGAACCCACCACCTGCACCACAGAAGAAAGATGTGGCAGTCTGCTTCTGTAACGATTGCAGCCTTGGAAACTCTATGGGGCACTTCTACTGTATCCTATGGGGTCACTTCGAGTCGGCATTGACAATAGGTGATTAGCATACTGTCAAAAATCTGGAATGTTAGATATGTAACTAGAGTCTTGCTACATTTGTATATAGAATGTTTCATTTCTAGGAAACCTGGATTTGCTGTGGGGGAAGTAACTTGGTAGCAGTTAAGGAGGATTGTCTGGCTTTTAGGATTTATCCACAAAAATACTAGGTGACTTCCAAAAGCTTATGGGAAAATGAAATGATAAGAGAATGGAATTTTTCCATGAGCTTTTTGAAGCCCCCTGGTGCTCAGGAAAGGAGCTGGGAGCGCCCTGGTGGCAGAGGCACCGTGTGCGCATCTTGTGAGTTCAAACTGCTTCCTTGTCTCCGCTCTTGGATTGTACTCCAGAACCTCTTAGCTGCTTTCTCTCCTCTTCCATTCCAGAAAGTCCTTGTGGATAAGGCTGGGTTTTCAGAGCCAGTATTCAGAGTCAGTGCATTTGGCATGGAATCCCAGATCATTGTGGTTTTCTTCAAATCTTTGAGTTTCATTATCCTAATTTATAAAACTAAGAAAGGCCTTTTGTACAGGGATATTGTGAGGAATAAATGTGGTATTTTGTATAAAACCATTTCCAAAATGATACAACATCTGTACTCTCATATAAATAAGGTTTGCTATTTGCCATGAACCTTTGCTGTTTCTTAGTTAAAATAAAAATAAAGGAAAACAAATTTCATTTGATGAACATTAGTGGTCAGCAACCTTTGACAAACTTATATAAAACAATTAGAAACGGAATTCATGTAAAAAGTGTTTTGAAAAACGGAATAAATTGAATACACCAGCCATGTTTTTGTTCTTTTTCAAACTGGCTTTTCATTTTATGGGGTGTAAAATTTGGCCAATGACAAGTCGGAAGGGAACGTTTCATTGTTGTAAATAGATATTGCCCACAAGAGATTTTGCCTTACTTTTTAAATGAACTTGCTTTGGATACAATTGTCATGGTACCAGTTCATAGTTTCTAATTTATCTGAAAGATGATCATATTTACTTTTTGATACTCTGTTTAAAAATTTAACCAATGAAAGATTTAAACAACAATCAAAACAAAAGACTCAATGCTTACCCAAACCAAATTATAATCAGTATTTCAAATGTTTGTTTAGTGAAGAGTGTCATTGGTATTGGTAGTTACAGTCAGTCAGACATTGGATAGATCAGTTTGCTGTAATCTATGAGACCATTGCCCTGCCCTGGTAAAGGTGCTCTATAAAGGAGATGGCCTATGATTTATCCTCTGTGATTTGTTATGTGATGGGGTCAGGCACTATGATGACAAGGTATTAAGTAGTTTATGCTGGAGCTCCCCTGGCTGAAATTCTCAATTTGGAAAGCTACTAATCTCTTCTATATGTTGACAGCTAAGGCATCTTTCATCTCCAGTCATTTAAAATTTAACCTGCAAGTCTACTTAGTGGTGGTAGTGAGGATATAAGGCATCTTTCATCTCCAGTCATTTAAAATTTAACCTGCAAGTCTACTTAGTGGTGGTAGTGAGGATGGTGGCCGAGGCAGATCGGTGACTGTCCATTCCATTCTCAGTGATGCATTTAGAAAGGCATTTCAGAATGTTAGGGGAGCTCCTCAAAAGACACCTCTGTGATCAAAACAGGTGATATTCTCTTCTGATTTTTGAGGACTATCAATTATATTGTCCTTTTGAGAGACTGACTCAGTTTATGATAATTTTGTATTAATGGCAGTTGTAGGATTATAGGAGTAAGGATGTTGGATTTTTGTTTTTAAAACTTTTTATTGTGATGTAGATGAAAGTTTTTACAGAGCCAGTTGGTTTTCCGTTTAACAAGTCACCCACATTTTGTTTCATGCCATTGATGGCAATTCCTCTCAATGTGAGAGCACTTTTCCCACCTTCCCTCAGTGTTTAGCATTTCCATCCATCCTCCTTTCGTCACTCTTCCTGCCTTCTGACCAGATGCTGTCCTTTTGGTCTTGAATGGTTGATTCTCTGAGGTGTGCTCAGCTCCGTGGTGTTACTGTTTACCTTACAGAACTGTTATTTGGCTGAAAGTTGAACTATGTAGGTGAATTGAGTTCCAGGACTGAAGGGTATCTAAGGAGCACAGTTACAGGGTCTCTGACAATCTCATGGTTGTATTGGCTGCTCAAAATCATTTAAGATCCCAGTTCCTTCTCATCAAAGTTGGGAGTCCTGCTGCGTCCCTGTAGGATAAGCATTGAACTATTATTTGCAAAGTCAGTGGTTCAAACCCACTAGTCATTTCTTGGAAACCCTGTACAGGGATTTTGTG